CCTTGCAGAGGAAGTTTGCTCAGTCAATTGCTCAAAAGGTCCAAAAATTGATTGTGCTAGGGCAAAAGTCAACTGTGACCTACATACAGTCAAACTTCAAGATTTTTTGTAAACATTCTCATTTTTAAGGATATTTCATCATTTGATCAAGGTTTGATCATGATTCATCAAGGATTGCTCAAAATTCATCAAGACTCAAAAGTTGTAAATTAGGGTTTTATAGGAAAAGTCAACTCAAATTTGACCAAGCATAACTATCTCATATTTTATGAGAAATGACCCATCCAAATATCATTTAGAAGAGGATGCAATTTCCTACAATCAATCTTCATACCCTAAGATCAAAAAATGCACTCACAAGAAGTTATAAATTTGGACATTATAGGTCATTTTTGAAAATCAACAAAAACACCTATTTTTCCAAAGCTTATAACTTGAGAATGAAATATCAAAGTGAGATAAGACCAAAAGGTTTGGTTAGAGGACATCTAAAGCTTTCTAAAAAGTCCAAGAACACCTCCAAAAGTTCAAAATTGAAGAAGTTATGCATTGTTGAAGTTGGACATTTTTGCAAAATTGCCAAAAGTTAACTATCCCCAAAACTTCAAATTTTGTCAAATGGGCCCATTCTTTTCCACTTGATTTGAGCTTGCATCATTGTACACGTGTCCTAGCTTCAGCCATGAGCCCATATTTCATTTTTATTATTTTATTTGATTTTTTATTCAATTTATTCATATTTAATCAAATTAAATCATATAAAATCCAAAGCTTTGATTACATGAGATTTTTTGGATGTTTCAGGTTGTAATTATCATCATTACCATCATCAAACTCGAATCATACAATATCATGTGCAAAAAGAGTGAGATTTGGCAAATTTGGCAAGTTGTAAAGAGTGAATCAAATCAAATTCCAATGCATTGATTTAGAGAGATTCAATCCATAATTCTTACCCTAATACACTGCATAGTACATAAGCAAGCTAAGACACACGAGATCAGGGTTAGAGGCTGCAGAAAGAGGCAATACAAAAGTTGAAAAATTCACTAAAAAGTGTGGAATCGAATCCATAGCTAGAGGGGTTTTCAGGACTTGGGGGTTGTCTCAATCAACTGCTGATCATCTCCAGAGGCTTTTGCAATCCAGACCACGTGTTTTCAAGCACTCTAAAGCACTGTAAGTACCACGCGGATCCGCTTGTTTCTTGGATTCGTAAATCATCATTCTGGCATCATTTGGACAAAGTATTACATGTTTGTGATCACAAAGACATTTGCAAACTTTTTGTATTATTGAATTTCGTTTATATGACCTGTACCAAGAATCACCATAGCTAGGGTTCTTGGAGCTTTTTTGGGCGTTTTTGTTTCAGGAAAAATTGACCATAAAGAGAGGTATGGTTGTGACCGGGAGGGAAGGACGAGTACAACCATGGCCTTGGAATGGATTTATGTAGCCTGAGATAGATTTTAGGATTGGCCTACGCTTTTAGCCGCGGATTCAAATCCGCAGGTAATTTTGTTACAGGTCTGAGGAGAGGGGCGAGATCGTGTCCTCCTCCGATTGGCCAATTCAAATGATTTTCGCGCATTTTTGTTTTGCTGGCACATTAACTTGTTTTCTTTTATTATATTTCTTTTGTATATTATTAACAAGCAAAGAAAATCAGCCTAGTGGAAAGCGTGCATTGGCAATCACCCTCAGGACCTGGGTTCGAATCCCAGTCCTCCAATTTCTATTTGATTTTGCATTTCAGGCGATTGTGTACATATCCAAGCATGCAGCATACCATACACCATCAAGCATCTAATGGCCAGATGACCAAAGGCCAGATCTGGTGGCCAGGATCTGAAGGTCCACCATGGAGCCAAGTCAGCGCGTGCACACCAAATCTGCAAAGTCAACAGGGCCAGCGTTCTTGGGCCAAAAAATTGCTGCTCAAACACCCTAAATCAGGCCCAAACCCCTTTTTTTTTCTATTTTATTTATTTAGTTTTATTAATTGTTTTTATTGTTTTATTTAATTATTAACCAATCAAAATTTTTTTTCCATAAAATAAAATCACAAAAATATTTTCTTTATCAAATTAAATTTTAACTTTTATTTTTATTAATAAACATTAATTAATTAATTTAAGTTTTAATTAGAATAACTTTAGCATATTTTTGTAAATAATTAAAATTAAATTAGATTTAATTAGGTTTTAATTACTAACATTAATTGTTTTATTTTCCTTTCTTAAAATAACAAAAAACCAAAAAAAAAATTAATTTTTATTAATTAATTAATTTATTAATTTAGTAATTAATTTAGATTATTTTCTTTCTTAAAATAAAAACAACAAAAAAAATATTTTTCTTAAAAGGATCAAAACCCTAAACTCGCACTCAATCTAATTTCCCGCACGCGATTTATTTATTTTTATCATATTAATGTACTTGCCTCCGGTTTGTAATACTTAATAGGACCTGCTATTTATTTTTTATCGCTTTATTTATTTTTAAAGGGTTTGTCTTTGGCGATGTAAATACCCGACGCCTTGTAATTTAAATTCCGCATTTTATTTCCGCAAATTATAACTGTTAGATGTTTGATAATAAGATGGCATGACTAGACTGAATGTTTTAACCTAAAATCAACTTAGATCATCCTTAACATGTACGAAGATAAAGTAACTGAAAACGATACACTCACACATGCGCACTCTTAGGGTACACCCCACTTGGTTGCCTTCGTACACGGTCATTGAGTATAGGTCACTTTAGAGGTTGTGCTCTTGTCTAAAGATCATAGTCGCCTCGAAACGGTTGCCTCAGATATTGTTGCCTCAAAACAAATGATCTAAGACATTAGGGTTACCGCTAAGGCGTCCTAATATTGCTTTAGTGACCGTAAGTCCCTAATTCGAATTGACCCTCAAACTCCAACGACGATGCTGCCTACTCATCAATAGTGGGATAGCATTGTCTAAAGGAGATTAGCATACAACGATTCCTTTTTTCGAGTAGGTAGATGGTTCTTAGATACTTGCTCTTTCAAAAACAAAATCTTGTTCACACTTACACTTTTCGAACAAAGTTTTCAAAAAACACTTCATACACTCTTGAGGACAGAAGCAAGAGTTAAATCGAAGTTTTCAAACAAAAACTTTTTCAAACCCACAAGCACAAAGAAAGCAATTTTGAAAACAATTGAGCAAGTACCTAAGAGCCCGTGGATAACCACGGATAGAAAGGGTGCTAACACCTTCCCTTTCTATAATCTACCCCCCGAACCCGAGAAATATCTCGAAAAGGAATTTTTCTGTGCTTTTTTCCTTTCCTTGTTGGATAAAATAAAAGTCGGTGGCGACTCTTGCTTACCGCGACATTTTGCAAAAACAAACGCAAAACGCAAAACAGCATTCCAAAAAACAGTAAGTTCTTCTCACCGTATCACAGTTTGTCTTGCCGTAATATGGTATATTTAGAAACCTCAAAATGATGTAATCTTTAATCGAGTCATAAAATCAGCGAAAGAAGTGGAGGAGAAAAGTATTTTTTAAGCTTGGAATTGGTTTTTGGGTAAGTCGGAGGATAACTCTCGCACCTTCTCGGAGTGGCTTCAGAATCCTATCATTCATCTGCACCTATAGAAGATCGAGTGTTTGTCCTATTTTAGAGTGTGGTGGTAGCCCTTTTGTTCCTCTTGAGTTGGGACCTGATCTGTCGATGATGGATCTGCTTGAATTGAGATCTAGCCTATGTCTAGCAAGGTGATTTTGTATTAGTTATGGTTTGGCTCCTGATTATTCCTTTCTTTTTTGTGATTTTATGTTTTTATCGTATATCTTGTTTCTTTTTAGTTTCGGGAACTTCTTGTGCTTTGTGTTTTAATTGTAACTTGATTTTCTTTTTATTTTATCTAACACCCTTTCAGCGTATGAACAATATTTAAATTATTTTTACTTTTGCAAAAACATATAACTTAAAAAACTCAGATTCTAAACTAAAATTAGAATTGTTTCTCATATCAAAATTACAAAAAGTTTACATGAGGCCTGTCACAAGACAATCCTCACAACCCATATTCATAGAAAACTAATCTAACATGGTGATCGTTAACATATCATAAGCGAAAGCATACAAAGGATACATGATAATAGCAATAAAACAAAACATGGAATAAGCAGAAAAAAGACTTGAATAAAACACCGCTCCAATGGAGTCTTTGATCCAATACAATAAGAAAATAAGAAAGCATAAAAACTTGAGCTACTAACTTAGAAATTTAACTAAATTTTAGTACAATGCTTCTTGGTTCTTTTTCCCCAAGATTACAACCTATTTATAGGCTCCAAATGACACTAATATGAAAGTAAATTGTCCTAAATTCAAAAGTGAAGAAAATGATGTCATGTGAAAGGTGGAATGTTTTAGAAAATCCTAAAAGAAGAATAACTATTTCATAAAAAAAAGCCAGATCATACCCTTACAAAATACAAATAATAAACAAATTAACAAAATTAACTTTTTTTTTGTTACACCTATATAATTAAATTGTATTTGTAAGAAGTCTCCCTTCTAGACTTGTAGGGTGGATACATGAGCACAAAAACAACAACAAATTGTATTAGACTTGTAGGGTGGATATTACTCTCCTTCTATACTACACCTACAATTTAGCCTAATATAAGAAGAAAAAAATCAAAACAAAAACATAATTTCCACATGTATAATTAAGATTTTTAGCATAATTTTAACTAAACATAAACATAACAACGTTGTTTTAACACAAAAATCGCAACCACGTTCGTCTTACGAAATCTTCGGATTTTTCCCAAGTCAATAACATCCTCAACTTCTTTCTGTTATTCAAATTCTCTTTCCTCCTTGAGCATTTAAATTATTATATATATACCATTACAAAAATCCACACTACTTGAATTACATCACAGAATAAGAGTTTCATTAACCATTATTATTTCATAACCAATTTTTCCTATTATTCATTTCTGATGGATAATGGGATTTCCAGACAATCTTCCATAAGAAACAAGCTAAAAAACACAATATGTTGTTTTACAGGAAATATTCATCATCATGATTCTTCATGGGAAGAAGGAGAAGGATTTTATGACAAATTACGCATACCAAAAACACCAATTTCACCCGTAGGCTCGTCAAGTTCGCCATCTTCGTGGTTCAAGAAATCACCCCCGAGTAATGGAAGCGACATTACCCGCATTAGGGGTAGAAGTCTAAGGACACTCGTGGGTCGCAAACACATTCATCATCGTCAATCACATTCCGCGGAATTTAGCTATGACCCTTCAAGTTATGCACTCAATTTCGAAAATGAAAGTGACCAAAATGATAGCCCAATAAAAGATTTTAGCTCTCGATTACCTCACTCACCACCTTCTTCTTCATCAACGACTAATTACTCTGATAAGCTTCCAAAAGAAATTGTTGGATATAGTTGATCTACAACATACACATAGGTTTCAATTCAATACACAATTCAACCCAAATACTTGACAATATTGTGTTGCCATAATTATTTCTATCTACATGAATGTATCTTCTTTTATCAAAATTTTATATTCATAATTTTTCACTTATTTCATAATTATTATGAAACTGTCATGCTTAGTAATGTAAATTGAAATAAAGAATTCAAACCAAGATAAACTAGAATATTGATTCGAGTAAATAAAAAGAAAATAAAGCAACATACATAAATACTTTTAAAAAAAGTTTCATATAAGGAAGATTGGATTGATAAGGCTTAGTCAAATTAATGTCCTAGTTTATAGCATTTCTATTAGTTGATTTAGTCAAATTTGTTTCCTAAAATTTAGCTAGTACGTGGCCTGTAGGTTGCTTTTTGTTTTCTTATTTATTTGGTTTACGATGAATAAACAGTCATTCCCAAAAGCTTCTATTCTGTTCCTGTTACATTTAATATTCTGGTATCAGAGCAGTAACCTGAGAGATGGGTTCGGAAGCAAATTTTGTAGCAGCAACCTGAGAGATGGGTTCGGAAGCAAATTTTGTAGCAGCCTCCATCCCGAAGTTCGACGGCGACTACGATCATTGGAGCATGTTCATTGAGAACTCCTTCGATCCAAGGAGTATTGGGTTGCTGTTGAATCAGGCTACACAGAGCCAAAGAGTAGAGATGGAATGACGACATAGAAAATAAAGAACCTGGAGGAGATGAAGCTGAAGGATTTAAAGGCTAAGAATTACTTGTTTCGGTCGATTGACAAGTCAATTCTGAAGACGATCACGAAGAAGGAGACATCTAAACAGCTCTGAGATTCCATGAAGTTAAAGTGTCAAGGTAATGCTCGAGTGAAGAGAGCCCAGCTCAATCGTCTACGGCGGGACTTTGAGGTCTTAACAATGAAGCAAGATGAATCGATCACTGATTATTTTGGTCGAGTGATGACGGTTGCAAACGACATGAGGAATTATGGAGAAGATGTGGATGATGTCAAGATCGTTGAGAAGATCTTGAGAACCCTCACTGAGAAATGGAACTATATTGTTTGTTCCATAGAGGAAGCCAGGGACATAGATGAATTATCAGTGGATGCCTTGCAAAGTTCTCTGCTCGTTCATGAGCAAAAATTCAAAGTAAGTGGAGAAGAGGAACATGCTTTGAAGGTAACTCATGAAGAGAGCTATGGTGGAAGAGGGCGAGGAAGAGCTACTTTTTGAGGAGTTCGGGGACAAGGCAGAGGCAGGGGCAGCCAACCGAGGAGTAAAGAAACAGTTGAGTGTTACAAATGTCATAAGCTTGGACACTTCCAGTACGAGTGCCAAAAAAATTATGCTGGTTTGGAGGAATCGGAAGAGATGGTGCTAATGACGTATGTCGACACGCTTGGAGACGATCGAGATGTTATGTGGTATATTGATTCTGGGTGCAGCAATCACATGTGTGGTGATTCTTCACTTTTTTGTGAGTTAGAAGAAGGGTTTAACAAGGTGGTTAGATTGGGGAATTATGCAAGCATGAACGTTTCCGGAAAAGGAAGTGTTCGATTGACAATAAAAGGAGTAAACCACCTTGTACGAGATGTCTATTATGTTCCCAGTTTGAAGAATAATCTCCTCAATGTTGGACAGCTACAAGAAAGGGGTTTGGCTGTACTAATGCAGTCAAATGAGTTTCAGATTTATCACCACACAAAGGGTTTGGTATTCCAAACCAACATGGCATCAAATCGAATGTTTGTGTTGCTTTCGAGCACTAAATAAATCAAAAGTGAAAGCAAAGAAGAGTGTTTCCATGTAACGACCGACGACACCAAAGGCGTGGCTCACCTCTGGCACCGAAGATTTGGTCATCTCAGCTACAAAGGGTTGAAGACTTTGCAAACAAAAAGCATGGTGAGAGGCTTACCAAGTTTCTCGGAGGGTGAAATTGTATGCATAGATTGCTTGAAAGGGAAGCAGCATCGATATGTAATCCCAAGGAGAAGTACATGGAGAGCGTCGGAAAAATTGGAACTTGTTCATGCTGATATTTGCGGCCCAATTTCTCCGTCTTCGGAGGGAAACAAGAGGTATTTCATTTGCTTCATTGATGACTACAGTAGGAAGGCGTGGGTGTATTTTCTCGCTTGTAAGTCAGATGCACTCACTATCTTTAAGCTATTTAAAGCTCTTGTTGAAAAAGAAACGGGTCTGTCCATTAAATGTTTAAGAATAGATCGTGGAGGTGAATTCACATCAGATGAGTTCAAGGAATATTGTAAAATGAATGGAATCAGGAGGAAATTAACTGCTGCATATACACCGCAACAGAACGGAGTTGCCGAGCAGAAAAATAGAACCGTGATGAATATGGTGAGGAGCTTACTGGTTGAGAAAAATGTTCCAAGAAAATTCTGGGCAGAGGCGGTAAACTGGGCATTCTATGTTCTCAATAGATGTCCAACATCATCGGTGAAGGAAACAACACTAGAGGAAGCTTGGTGTGGGGTGACACCTTCAGTTAGGAACTTGAGAGTCTTTGGTTGTATAGCATATGCTCACGTACCGGATGCTCGGTGAACAAAACTTGAAGATAAGAGTCGTTGTTGTGTCTTTTTTGGTGTAAGTGCAGAATCAAAGGCATATCGACTATATGATCCTACCTCTAAGAGGATCATTATCAGTCGCGATGTCGTCTTTGAAGAATACGAGCAGTGGAATTGGGAAAAAAATCTGATGAAGATAACACGTTTGATTTGGAATGGGAAAATGAGAAAAGTGAAGAAAGTGAGGAATCAAGTGATGGCAATGAAGAAGAAAATACAGCTGATGATAATGAAGAAGAAAATGGAGAAATGCAGCTGATAGTAATGAAGAAGAAAATGCAGTTTCTCCATTGACAGAGCTCTGAAATAGAAGAGCTCCAAGATGGATGAATGACTATGTATCTGGTGATGGTATTTCCTATGAAGAGGAAGAGGTACAAACTCACTTAGTCTTGTTTTCTCATGTCATTCGTTCTAATCCTACTTCATTTGACGAAGCAATAAAGGAGGAGAAATGGAGGGCAACCATGGATGCAGAAATGAGATCAATTGAGAAGAATGGAACATGGGATCTTAGAGAGCTACCAAAAGGAGCGAAAAAAATAGGAGTCAAATGGGTATACAAAACAAAGTTGAACGAGCTTGGAGAAGTAGAAAAATACAAGGCTCGCTTGGTTGCCAAAGGGTATGCTCAAGAATACGGAGTTAATTATGAAGAAGTATACGCTCCTGTAGCTCGTATGGACACGGTTCGAATGATTTTGGCACTTGCTGCACAAAGAGGTTGGTGTGTGTTTCAGCTGGATGTGAAGTCAACCTTTCTTCATGGGAAGTTAGCTGAGAATGTGTATGTGGAGCAGCCAAGGGGTTGTGAAATAAAGAATGAGGAGCATATGGTATATAAGCTCAACAAAGTTTTGTACAAACTCAAGCAGGCACCGCGAGTATGGTTCATCCGAATTGAATCATACTTCAGGAAGGAAGGTTTTGAGAAGGAGGATAGTGAGCAAACTTTGTTTACCAAAGTCAAACAAGGTAAATATTTAATCATTAGCTTGTATGTTGATGATTTAATTTATACCGGAGATGATGAAAAAATGATGTTTGAATTCAAAGAGTCCATGATGAAGGAATTTGATATGTCGGACTTGGGTAAGATGAGGTATTTTCTTGGTATTGAGGTAGTTCAGTTTGATGGCGGTATATTCTTCAGTCAAACAAAGTATGTGATAGAAGTGCTAAGAAGATTTGGAATGGAGCATAGCAATTATGTTGAAAATCCAATGGTTCCAGGATTTAAAATCTCCAAAGATGAAAATGGTGTTGAGATGGATGGTTCATTTTTCAAGCAGCTGATTGGAAGCTTGATGTACTTGGTTGCTACGAGGCCGGACATAATGTATGCGGTTAGCTTATTAAGTAGGTATATGTCAAGGCCTACGTAAGTTCATCATTCGGCGGCAAAGAGAATTCTACGTTACTTGCAAGGTACAACAAAGTTTGGCATTCTTTACAAAGCGGAAGGAAACTCGAAATTGATTGGCTTTACGGATAGTGATTATGCTGGATCGGTGGAGGATAGAAGAAGTACTTCGGGTTATGTTTTTATGCTAAGTGGAGCTGCAGTAGCTTGGTGTTCTCGAAAGCAACCGATAGTAACGTTGAGCACGACAGAAGCCGAATTTGTAGTAGCTGCAGGAAGTAGTTGTCAGACAATATGGATGCAAAGGGTGTTGAAGAAGATAGGCTACAAGGGCAGTGAAAGTACTGTCATCTATTGTGACAATAGCTCAACCATTAAATTGTCGAAGAACCCGGTGATGCATGGCAAGAGCAAGCATATTGATGTGCGCTACCATTTCTTAAGGGAGCTTGTGAATGATGGAGTTGTGCAACTTCAGTTTTGTGGTACAAGGCATCAGTTAGCGGACATCCTCACCAAACCGTTGAAATTAGAGTCATTTCGGAAGCTGAGATGAAAGCTTGGAGTTTGTGATTTTCCAGGAGTTAACTAGCTGCAAATGATATCTAGTTCAAGGAAGGGAATGATAAGGCTTAGTCAAATTATTGGCTTGTAGGTTGCTTTTTGTTTTCTTATTTATTTGCTGAAATTTACAATGAATAAACAGTCATTCCCAAAAGCTTCTATTCTATTCCTGTTACATTTAACACGGATGAGCTCTCCTCAAATATAAAAAAGAGAAATTAAAAACGGGAATAATAAAACTTCAACCATCACAATGCATATTAGAGTTGGTTGAAATAAAGCATTTATGAATAAATTGTATAGTGTCTAATATGCTAAAATAAGAGGAAAACATTAATTTGTTTGCTTCGTCATAATATTTTATCCCTCTAAATAATAGTCTTAAAATAACTTAACATCAGTTTGGTTTCACAGTCAATATCATACACACATATTTATATTCATTCTTTATGATCTCAATATG